CAATTCTTCACTTGAAGAATTCATACATTTTATATGTTATTATATAAATAATAATACGTGACCCTGGACCACAAAACCAGTCATAAGGGTAAATTTTTTGAAATTGAGATTTATACATCATCTGAAAGATGAATAAACACGCTTTCCATTGATGTATGGTTTGTTAGGATATATAGGACAATATTTGCTCGAGATACAACTATTTGAAAATCTGGAATCTGAGGGTGCAAAAATATCTAAATATTGAGAAAATCGCATTTAAAGCTGTCCAAATGAAGTCCTAAGCAATGCATATTAGTGATCAAAACTTACGTTTTGATATATTTACTGTAGGAAATTTACAAAATATCTTCATGGAACACGATCTTTACTTAATATCCTAATGATTTTTGGCATAAAAGAAAAATTTATAATTTGGACCCATACAATGTATTGTTGGCTATTGCTACAAATACAAATATTGCTACCTGTAACCCAAAAAAGGTTGACCTAGAAACAGTTTCTGATCCATAATGTGCGTGGTTTAAAGTTAATTAAACGTGATTATTGAGGACAAAATGCAAAACTATGTGCTAATGTCTGAAACCACTAGTCTCAGATTTCAATTACAGTAGATAAAAACAGAATGATCTATTTTTTTTTCAAATTTGCTCTGTTGAATATTGTGATCCATATTAAAAGCCAAACACATTTTATTGAATATAAGTCATTGTTAGTAGATGTTGATGAAACATTCTTAATGTTTATGTTTGGATGCATTACAGTTATGGACAAATGTTGGCATCAGTGCTGACATGTAAGTCAAATCCAAAGCCAGTTTTTTTTTTTTTTTTCGAAACCTGGATGCCAGCCTAAACTTAATCATGATTGCAATGATGTCTGGAGCGGTTCCACAATTTATTCACACTTTCCCCCAAAATACCCCTCATATACCACACCAAATAAAACAGCACACATAGTGCTGAAAATAATTTCTGTATTATACCAAACTTACATGCACTACAAATTCAACGGTTTGGGATTGAAGAGATTTTATTATTAGCTATTAGTGTTATGCTATCGGTTTAAAATAACTGTCTTCCATTTTAACTTATTTTACAATGTAATTTATTCTTGTGGTGGCAAAGCTGAATTTTTAGCAGCCATTACTCCAGTCTTCAGTGTCACACAATCCTTCAGAAATCATTCCAATATGTTGATTTGATGCTCGAGAAACATTATTACCTATATTAAACAGTTGTGCTGCTTAATATTTTGTGAAAACTATGCTAAATTTTTTTCCCTAGAATTCTTTGATGAAAAGAAAGTGCACAAGAGCAGCATTTATTTGATTTGTTTATTATTATTATTATTTGTTTATTTTGGTACCACTCAAAAGTGATCTACTCTTACAAATAAAGATAATTTTCAATTAAAAAAATCTTCCTGACCCTATAATATTAGATGATATTGAATGACTCATATAGTATTTGGGACATCTGGTGTTTTGAAAGATTTTTCATCTTCTTGCAAATGAGATTGGAAATGAGCTTAGCAAAACTGTTAGAAAAGGATAGTTAGGTGTAGGTGAGAAGAAAATCGGCGTGGGAGGTTAAAGGTGTGAAGAGAATGTAAAAAGTCACACGTCACTTAATAGGGATTAGCCTCTAAACAGTGTGTTTGGCATCTTAGCTCAAGGGCTTATCACAGATCTGACTCTGCAAGGAAGCCACCATCATGAACAGGAAGTTGTGCCGGGCACTAGACTAAAACCAGATCAGCGTCCAGTCTATATGCAATTACCCTAATGGCCCAGTTGAATGTGCAGACCTTACATCATGTGCCTGTTTGATGATGTAACAGTAAACTGACACATATACACATTTATATTAAAGGGACAGTTCAGGCAAAAATGAAAATTCCTCCTTTCTTTTATTATTTATTCACCCTTGTTATTGTTCCAAACCTGTATGACCTTCTTTTTTGTTCCACAGGAGGAACATCATACAGGTTTGGAATGACATAAAGGTCAGTATTTTTGCCTGAACTATCCTTTTAACAGTCTTGCGAAGACACTAACATTTATTTTGTAATAGTGCTACAGTACATAAACGTACACACACACACTAAAAAAAAAAAATGAATCTGTCTACAAACATTCCTATTTACCCATATTATTTAAAGTGGCCTCATGAAGTATTTGGATATTTAAATCACACATGCATCAATATATATATATAAAATATCAAAGAAGGTGGGATTTATTTTACAGACAAATCGTACAAAGGAGTTTAATAGGTTTGAAATAAAGTATACTGTTCAAAATGTTTTTTGGTAGATGCCACTTGGTTTGACATATTGTTATCTGCAATGACATTCACACATTTTTAAGTATATGGCTTAGGTGTCCAACTACTTTTGGGTCATTGTCTCTATCTATATTTTGCACAAAACTATGAATTCATAAATATTATTTTATTTCTAAAAATGTCATGTGTGTCAGATGAAGGAAGCTGGAAGCAATTTGTGCTGGATAGAGGAAAAGTCCTTTAATCTCAGATTGGTTTGGGGCCATCTAATCACCCTGTTTAGTCACCTTCACTTAGAAGCTGGACAAGCTTTTCCTGATCTCATTATGAGGCTGTGGTCACATTTACCCACTATGGCCCGCATATCAATCCAAAAGGACATTCAAGACCCCTGAACTGTTTCCCTGCTGTTTTAAATATGGCCTTCCTATCATACCACGCTTGGGTCCCATAACTGTGCAATAAAGTCCAACACTTTGATTTCCGTGCATACACTACCGTTCAAAAATTTGGGGTCACTAAGATTTTGACATTTGCCAATTGACATTAAAATTGACATTCCACTAACTATAAGTAATTGCAACTAAATATCAACTAACTCGCATGTTGACATGTAAAAAAAAGTTACTTATAGTCAGTAGAATGTTGAGGGAACAATAAATAATGTGTTAGCAGATATTAAGCAGACAGTCTACTAATAATGACTGGTAATTGACATGTAGTTGCAAAGCTACAGTAAGCAGAATGTCTAAAGTGGACTATTGAAATAAAGTGTTACCTTAATTGTTTTTGACAAAAGTATTTTATGCTCATGAAGGTGGCATTTATTTGATCAATCAATCAATCAATCAATCAATAAAAATAAAAACAGTAATAGTGCACTGCTTAATATTTTGTGCAAACCATGCTAATTTTTTTTTCCAGGATTCTCTTATAAACAAAGTTGAAAAGAAAAGCATTTATTTGAAATACTTTATAACATTTACTGTCATTTTTGATCAATTGAATGCATCCTTGCTGAATAAATTATTCATTTCTTTTAAAAATAAAATAAAATAATGACCCCAAATCTTTGAATGGTAGACTAGACCTACTGCAAATATTGTGACAATCCTATTTATTGTTACCTATATTATGTGTATGCAACAAAATATCTAGAGGTAAATCATGCAATCCCTTTAAAAATAATAAACCTCAACTTGACTAGAGAGTTAACAACAAATAATGGGTTAATGCCATTGCACATTTTAGCAGACACATCTTATCTGAATATTGGTGTCTGTGGTGGTCATGGCCCTGGGTCTAAATATTGTCCAGTAGATGGAGCTATTCAACAATCTCTGCATGGAGACAAAAATACACATTTTATGTCCAGCAGATGGTGCATTCATTCACATTTGGACAAGCTAAGACTGCAGTCCATCAAAGATAAAAACAGTTCCATGGCGTCTGTGTTCTGGGAATGTGAAGGTTAATGACTGTCCATTTGATGTCTGATTTTGATTAACCTTTTCTGTTGGAGTCTGTAACATTACGTTTAAACGTTTATATAGGTTGATTGTTAGGTCAATGTCATTGCTGTAATGTCATTAGGTACCCAGCAGATGGCGATCTTGCAAGTTAGTCTAGGAAAGTGTAAATCTTTTGTCATTAATTTGTCTAACGTTAACTAAACTATAGCAGAAGAAATTATTACATAAAAATAAAAATAACAAAAAAAAATTAATCTTGTATTTGTATACTAACTACTCTCATTTGTAATTTTCACTTTTTATACACTTTTTTTTACATGTCAGACAAACACACTTCATTCTAAAAGGGAAAGCTGAAAAAAGCTAAACAGGTGGCCTTCAAGGCCCTTTTTGAGGTAACACTTCAATCAATTTATAAAGAGCAAACAAATCGTATCCTGTCAATTCATTTGAAATACATATATTTTCATTTATTCTCCATATGAACTTTATCATGTAGGCCTAACTGTATGATCGATTAAAAACTGTTGCTTTAAAAAATATTTCAGCACTTAACCATCATATAATGTTCATCACAAAGCAGTAACCATGTCTTGAACATTAGGGGGGACCAATTTATATATATGTTTAAAAATAGAACAGTGAAGGATATTCTAGTAATTCTAGTTGGGAAGTAATAATTTTCTAATATTAATAAGAAAATAATATTTTAAAATATGCATACATTCACTCTTATTTGTATGGCTAATATGTTAAAAAAAATTATTGTCTCTATATTCTGTTAGGAATTACTCAAATCATGTAAATGATACCATATTTTCCATTCAAACTGGTTACATTTTAGAAAATAAGTGAGTAGTTTGTTTCACTGGATGTTACTTTTTTACTTTTTTTTTTTTACATTTCTATCATAAAACAGTTGTCAAATATTAAATGTTTTTCTACTTTCATCTCAACTGGCACTTTATGCTGGAATTTGCGTTCTATTTCTGTGAACAGTAAACCTCTCCTACTTAAACTTGATTGGCCATCTCAGTCATTTTGATTGTTACATCCCCTTTTTGTCTAGGGGTGACAGGGGAGTAACATATGCTAAAGAGGAATGAAAACGTATCAGTGAACGTAAAAACCAATGGGCAAAAAAAAAGTGAGAGAGAGTTGGCTCTATCTGCAATCCCAGCACTCACACATGGAACTCTTCAAGATTTTATTTACAATGTAAAGTCTTTGTACAGCAGTTAGAGGGAAGGGGGAAAACAAGGGTAAACGGTATGGATAATTTAAAAAGAAAAGTTGAACAAGTGCTGTTGAACAAGCTTAAAATTTAACTTTTAAAGTTTTGAAAATATCTTTTTGTCATCCTAACAACAAACAGAGCACTTTGTAAATTCTGGGAAGGGGACAATGTGGCCATTTCTAATTATTTTCTAATTGTTGGGGTGATTTTTACCCCTCACTGTCTATGGTGGTGACGGCACTGGTGCATCACAATGCCAATCAAATGACAATGGGCTAACAGGAGGACAAGATCAGGAGGACAAATACAAGGCTGAAATGCTGGACAATCAGACAATGTCTCTGTGAGGTAATGAGTTCGGTGTATGAACAGTTCGTAAAGTCAATAGGTCTGTGAAGGTTTCAAAAGTAACAGTGTTTATCTTCTGTTTTGGGCGTTTAGGATCTGGCAGGTCTTCAGCAGGAGTACACAAGACTCTTACTCTCTGATATGCAAAATGATATTACAAAATGATGCACAGTGTTAATTATTTAGAAAATATATTAGAAAAACCAGAAAGGGCATTAACATTATGCTTTTAAAAAATAAATGCATACATAAAGAAGAAAACTAATATACATATATATATACCTGTCGCATAGACCCTGGAGTGGTGCCAACCAAATAAATCATCCACAGTGGAACTAGTAGGGTGGAGGAAAGGGTGAAGAAGCCACCAATCGCATAACCCCACCAGGGGTACTCATACACATTGTTGAACTTCAGAGGGGTGTATTTAACCAAGGAGAAGATAAACGTTCCCTAAATAGACAGGAAAAAGAATGATGAGCAATGGGGAGCCGTCAGTTAGTTTGGTATGCTTTGTCACACGGAGTCAGTGCACAAAGTCTCAGAATAGGAGAAGGTCTTTCTTGTGTTTTGAAATGCTGTCAGTGTAAAGACAGACACAAATGACAGGTGTCAGACACAGACTCACAGGTGGCAGACAAACCTCTTCCTACCTCTATGTACTGGTCTGTGGATAGTTTGTGGTTACAATATGAAAATAAAGAATGAAACATTTGTTTTAAAAAGCCACAGAATAGATTTCAAGGGATTTAAATGATACTCACTGTGCATATAGCTGGTGTTAGATATTTCCAGCAACACTTCATGAAAGGCCAGGGCCGATATCCAATCATATCCTCAATGCTATCATAGAGGCGATCTGCACCTGAAATTAAATTTAAAAGTTCTTAAAACTCGAAAGTACGCTGTAAATCATTTTATCACATTACTTTGTGTTCAGCACGCTTTTAATGTGCTAGGAATTGAGTGCACTGTTGTTCTCTAAATATTTCAACAGAGGTCAGGTTACAGAGTTGCAAATAAAAACATTTACCATTTGTGTACATTTATCTGCACTTTGCTTTTTCTTTACAGACTCAAATAAATGATTTACCATATACCCATCCAACACAGATGGCCTGAAGGATAGCAAACGTAAGAAGAGTCATGCCACTACAGGCGTAATAGTCAAAAAGCTGGAAGACATACAGGCCACCCTGAGAGTGAAACAGAAAAACAAAAAATTGCTGACAGAAATTACAGGTACTGCAGATTAGATTTTTCAGATCTTTGTGTTCTCATTTGTGACTCTCACCTCTGTTACCATTACCAGACCAAAAAGGAAGCTGGCAGCACTTATGAAGAGGAGAAGAAATTTTCTCCGATGTCCAACTTGGAAGAAGGAGGGATACATATCCGAGATAGCCGTTACCAGGGCTTCATGATACACAAACTGATACAATAATAGAAAAAGCTTTAGGGAATCCATACTATGATATAATGAATTCAATATAGAAAAATCTATATTGCTCTATATTGCTTCCTGTATTTACCTCACTATCCAATCCCAGGAATATGATCATGATAAAGAAGAAGATTGCCCATAACTGAGGCAGGGGCATCAAAGCTACAGCACGGGGGTAAGCAATGAAAGCCAAACCAGGACCTGCCACAAACAAAAGTCATTAAACGAATCCCTCCACACACCCCTTTTTTTGATAAAACCTAATCACTGCATGTAATGTGAAAGGCAGTGTTTAAAAATAAAAAAAAAGTCTATTTGTGTATAATTTTCAGCAGTACAATTGTGTTACCAAAGGTATTGCAGTTACTATACCCAGAGCTCTTACATAACATGATTTTCATGTTTCTGTATGCTGCTTATTTTATGATATAATAACCTTCCATTGATTTAAGAGACCTGAAGCCTTAAATATGATTTTACCTGACTCTGCAACCATTGAAATATCCATTCCCTGTTCATCTGCCATGAAGCCCAGGACCGAAAATATAGCAAAACCAGCCACAAAGCTAGTTAAGCTGTTGAGCAGACACAAGTATACACAGTCTCTGAAAGACAAATGGTAAAATACAACTTTTTTTTTTTTTTAGTTCAATTTGCAATGAATATACTACTGGTGTAGAAAGTGTGGTATTAGATCATATAAACTACCTATAGCAGTTGTTCTCATATTTGTTGTAGCTTCCCAAAGCAGTCAGTACTCCTGTACAAACTCCATAGGAGTAGAATATCTGACTACCTGCATCCATCCACACCTAAAACATCACATATTTTTTTTATTATTTCAAAATCCAATGATTCAAAATTCGACATCACAAAATGTCAATGTTTTCAGCAAATAAAGGGCAAAAGAGAGCAGCTCAGTGCCTGTGGGTCTGTGAGACGTGTTGGATCAGGGTAGAGGTAGAACGTGATGCCATTTTTCGCTCCAGGAAGAGTAAGTCCACGGACCAGCAGCACTACCAACATTAAATAGGGGAAAGTAGCAGTGAAGTAGACCACCTGAAAATAAGAGAAAGAACATTCAGCATGTTCCTGTGGCTCAAGTGCTACAGAGTGGTGATGACAACACCAACGTCTTGGGTTTAATTCCCATGTTTTGATTCCCAAATTAAAAAAAATAAAAATCTATTCTAATCTGTCTATTCACTGAACGTAGCATTAGGGAGATGTAAACTTGTCCACATTAAGATATATATTAAATATATTTGTTTATTTAATACAAAAAATACATAAAAATATTCAAGTATGCGCTATATGTGTGTATATATATATATATATATATATACACACACACACACATTTTAATTTGATTATATTTTGCCAGTGAATGTAAACTTGCATAATGTTATGTAAAATTGATAGTTAATTAAAAAAAAAAAAGGATTAAGCATTTTTTTTTTTTTTTTTTTTTGGAAAGGATATTAGCAGATGATATGGAGTACAACACGCAACAAGCAAAACACATTCCACTTCCAGCTCACATCTTACCATTTACTTTGTGATACATATTGTTAAAAAGTTTAACAAATTTCTCACCTTGCCTGTGGACTTCACTCCCTTCCACACACAGAAGTAGCAGATGATCCAGGCCAGCAGGAGGCAGAGTGCCAAGTCCCATCTAACATTACCAATCTGTTCTATTCCTTCAGACAAGCCCAAAATTCTTCTCCTGTAGGCAAAAAATATGGAATCACATTCTGTTTTACAACCTTTATTGAGAATCATTTTAATTATCTGGATGATTTGTGTTATCCTGTGTTGCCTTAATTGCGTAATTCTAATAAACATGTATCCAGTTTATTGGGGTGCTATTTTCAACAACTTACTCCCAAAACTCAATAACAGGAGACGTGCTTTTCTCTGGAGAATATTCAGTGATGTTGCTTTTGCTCAACTCTTTGCAGTTCTCTAAATAAAAAAGGCAATGGTTATTCAAACGACATAGTCCAGTATTATGATAATTCCCACTGTTATACGTGAGATACCTGTGTTCCAGTAGTTGTTGCAGCTCGCCCATGGCAGCTCTGAACTGAAGGATGAAAAGAGGTAAAGGAAAGCCCAAGCAAGAATTATGATGTAATAGACTCCTGTATAGAGGACAACAACTTGGCTACCATAACCGAGACCTGTGAATATAAATAAAAAGAAAAGAAAAAGTAGCAAAGTACTGAAGTAAAAAGCTGTAATACATTCACATTGAAAAGTCACTGTACATGAGCTCAGGGCTCTCAAGTCATATCAAAAGTTTGGAGTGAGATTACATCTGTTTGGGGAGGAGCCACTCAAATATTTGCAGCAGCAGCCCCTCTGCCCCAGCTCTCTCAATTTTTTGCTAGCAGTTCAATTTTACCTATTGTTCATAATTGACCAACACAAATTGAAATGACAACAATTGGTAAATCTGATAAAAGACAAATTCATCCAAATAAAATAAATTGTTTTATATATTTCAAAAATACAAATGTATCAAAAATTAAAATACAAGCCAAATGAACAGCAATTAACGGGACAAATTATCCCTTACTTCTCAGCGTGAGAAATACAAGGTGTGGCGTGTGAACTGGTTGAAATGCATGTGTCTCATGGTGAATGCGTGAGACTTAAGAGCCCTGTGAGATCATTGTTCACCTTCAAACAGTGGACAGATCTTCCTCCAGCACGTAATTCCACCCTGACTGGTGAACTGACCGAGTGAGGTCTCCAAAAAGAAAAGTGGAATCCCACAGGTGAAGAGAAACAGCACATATGGCACAAAAAATGCCCCTATATGACAGAATGATTTATTAACACATGGCAAACTTATACATATCAAAATACAATATGCAATATACAAAAAACAATATACGCATCAAAACTCCAGTAATACACACCAAAACACTGTGAAATTTTTATTTAGTCAGTATTAGCTCACCCCATAAAGAAAATAAAAGGGTCTAAAAAGAAGAAATGATCCAAAACAGGGGATTCACAAATTACTGTTTGAATTCAAAGTAATTTATGTTACAAAATGACAATGTGATAAACAAAAATACCATATTATACCATATCAACCAATTCTAAAGCATGTATATGTAAGTATAATATGACTCTCAACAATGATCATTTTAATAATTCATTCATTTTTTTAATAATTAATTTTTTATTTAATTTTGCAATGTAAGCACGACAACAATGCATATACATACACTATTGTTCAAAGGTTTGTGGTCACTATGATTTTTTTTATTTGATCAAAAAATCTAGTAAAAACAGTAATATTGTACAAATATTAAAATAATAATTTATATATCTTTAAAATGTAATCTATTCAAAGTTATTTCTCCAGTCTTCAGTGTCAATAATAATATTTTAATATGCTGATTTGGTGCTTAAGAAACATTTATTATTATCTATGTTGAAAACAGCCGTCTAATATTTTTGTGGAAACCGTGAGATTTGATATATATATGTGTGTGTGTGTGTGTGTAGTTTAATATCAGTTATACAAGTTTACTCTGTCATTGCTGAATAAAATTATTCATTAAAAAAATTGACCCTAAACTTTCAGAGCAGTAGTGTACATTAATAAATTACTGCAACATATTTTAGGCCAGATTAAAATGTATCCCATTAACATATATATATATATATATACACAGGGCATTGCTACACAGGTGCATCTAAAAAAATTAGAATATCGTGAAAGTTCTTTTTTTTTGTAACATTTCAAAAAGTGAAATTTTCATATATTCTAGATTCATTACATGTAAAGTAAAACATTTCAAAAGTTTTTTTTTTGTTTTAATTTTGATTAGAGCTTACAGCCCATGAAAGTCAAAAATCCAGTATCTCAAAATATCAGAATATTTCCTCAAATTAATCAAAAAAAAAAAGGATTTGCAAAACAGAAAAGCTCAAGTTCTTTAAAGTATGTTCATTTATGCACTCAATACTTGGTCGGGGCTCCTTTAGCACAAATGACAGCATCAGTGAGGTGTGGCATGGAAGCGATCAGCCTGTGGCACTGCTG